TAATTTTTTATCAGATTTATCAATAATCCCAAACGAAACACTGATGCATAGATGATAAGAAACAACCAGGTAAGATCGTATCGAAGGTACTAGGAAGCATCTATTTGGTATATAAATATATAATGTTTGGAAATCCACTTGAAACACCTCACTAATCTAGTCCTGTCATCATTCCCGTAAGTAGATCGGTCAGTAAAACAACTAGTATTATTGATAAATCTTATTTATAAGTTCATAATAATGATTATAAACACAAATATAATGTATACTTAAAGCACGGTAAACATAACTCAACTTACATGTTGTTTGACGAAAAACCGAACATTACGTGGGTAGAACTTCGAAATCAAAAGCTCCATTTATCGAGGCTCTCTGGCGCTCCAGAGCTTCAATACTAACACCTAAGAACTACTAGAATCGGGCCTCAGTGCCTCAAGAAGGTTTGAGACTGATTGAAAGAAGTTTGTGCAAGGAATGAACAAGAAATCGTTTCAATATATAGAGAAATTTAAAGGGCACGCTGTGTCCTATGCCACATGTCGCAACCTGGTTCATTTTCGAGAGGAGGAAGGGTACTTTAGAAGGTGACATGTGTCACCCTCTAGTGGTGCCACGTGCCGACTCCCGATAGCCGATTTTTAATATATTTCTAAAATTCATAACTTTTGTGTACGAACACCGTTTTCGATGGTTTTTATATCCACAGGTAGCTATCGACGAGTACTACAAATTTTATTTAGACTTCGTTGGCTAATTTTCACTTTATTTTTCGTTTTACAGTCTGAGAAGGCTTGGACTATAAATAATGTTGTGAAAATCATAACTTCTTCATACGAGCTCCGTTTTCGACGTTCTTTATATCGTTAGCTTCATACTGAAAAGTACTACAACTTTCATTTAGATTGTTCTGGCTAACAATCAACCAAGTTGATTACGATTTCTGTGTCGCATACTGTTGTATTATGTTATACTCGAAACTTTGAAAATTCATAACTTTCTCATACGAAATCAGATTTTGGCATTATTTATATCGACGTGTTCTTATTCATGAGCACTTCAAGTTTCATTTACATCACTTTGGCTAAAAAGCAACCTAACTTTGGTTCACTTTTTATGACACATCTTGTGGTATCGGTTTGAACGCGAAATTTAGATAAATTATAACTTCCTCATACGAAATCAGATTTGGACGTTCTTATATCCATGAGATCATAGTCATGACTACTACAACTTTCATCAAGAATATTTATCCTAAATAGTCTTTTATTTTTAGATGCTTATTTGACGTAATTTGTTAATTTTATATTAATAATGTTTTATTCAGATATTATAAGCCCATAATATTTTCCCCTAATACATGTACAGAGTATAAATATATTGTATACAATTTATAAATCCTTAAAATGTCTAGTCTGAATTAGCGGACGTTACACATCGTTTCTATAAAACACAATAGTATAAGCAACTTTTTAGTAACATTTTCATTTATTATATTTTTTTAAAAAAAGAGAAAACTTCATAAATGGTCATTGTGCTTTCCAGAAATCTAGCATATAGTACTTAAGTTCAAAAAACCTCATAGACAGTCCCTCTGATTTCAAAACTTTTAACAAACAGTCATTTTTAGCTAGTTTCGTTGTAGATTTAGTCCATTTTCGAAATTAAAATAACATTTTTACCCTTTACATATTTAATTTTCATTCTTTATTATTTTCTTTTAATATTTGATTATTATTAAATTCACGAATGACTATCTCTCTCTCTCCCTCTATATATATATATATATATATATATATATATATATATATATATATATATATATATATATATATATATATCCCTCTCCCCTCTCTCTCTCTCTCCCTCCCTCCCTCTCCACGAACCCACCCCAAGTTCATCTTCTCCAACCAAACCACCTGACTGAAGCGCCAAAACATTGGTTATATTCATAAACCAAAAAGAAACAAAAAAAATGATTGAATGCCCAGATTGAATCGATAAGATAAATCCAAGCTTTTTAACTGGGTACTCGACTTAATCCATCCTTCAACCTATTTGATCTCTAATCCAAGCTTTTTGACTCGTTCGTTAGGTTACTACAAGATGTGGGAGGAAACATATGGAGAAAATGATTTTCTGGGTTTGTTCAAGAACTATCTATTTCTAAAAATCACCAGATGGAGGGGACGAACTCAAACATATGTGCTCGGTTTCTGAAAATCCACCCATTGATCTTATTTTTTTTTCTCTCTCAATCCGATAGCAAGGACACCGAGCCCTCATCATCTTCTTTGAGTCCTTCTGCCAGATACAATTGTTCACCACACAAAAAACCCCACATGAATCCAAACAATAAAAACCCAAATGCAATATGCAATCGTTGCTAAAACCCCGAGATCAATATACATCAAATCTACAAAATCAAACTCTAATAAACTTGCCACTTGAATTCAAAACAAAACATCCAAGAAGATTGACCCGAGTAAAATGTTGCAAGTTAAATCGAAAATACAAAGAAATCAAAAAAAATTGAAGATCGAAAATATAATGAAGGTATCTTCGAGTTCATGATTTTCTGAAACTCGAAATTAGAAGATCAAAAATATAATAAACATGCAACTCGTATACATATATAATGAAAGCATCCCTGTAAATCGAAGATCATCCACATAATCAAGTTAGAGTGTTTCTTGATTTTCTAAAATTCGAAGATCTGGTTTGTAATCAGATGTGTGGCAGAGATCTGTTTGCCCTTTTCTGGTGAGGGAAAAGAGATCGACTATAGTCATGGCGGCAATGATGATATTGGAAACCACAGTTGTGGTTACAACAAATAACGTTTTCCGACGAGAAAGGGAGCTCGATAACCATGGTTTTCTTAACACCTGGTTGTTTTCCCTTTGTTTTCCATCAGGGGGGGGGGGCAATGGATTATTTATTTGTTTTTCTTTAATTATTTTAAATAGAATCAGATAAATTAATTCTAAAAAGAAATAGAAAGGGCATATAAGTCTTTTTATTGTAACATCCCAAAACCATGACAAAATTTCTTTTTCATTTTTAAAATATATTTTCATAAGGCCATCAGATAATCAAATATTGTTTTCAAATCAAATCCAAAAAAAAAATCAAAGTATCAAGATAATCTCTAAAACATAAAACAATAGGAAGATGTGTATGATCACACCTTCGTCTTGCCCTAATCATATGAAGTACCTTAAAACTTGGAAATCAACAACTGTAAGCCAAAGATTAGCGAGTTTCCCCAAAATACCCCACACAACAATACATATACAATGCATGCACATCGGGCCCACAACACAAGACTGGATTGCCCCCAAGCCCACATCATGAGATTGGATTACCCCTCCCCAAGCTCTCAGCTCATGACTGGCTTGCTCCCGAGTCCATAGCATAAGACCGGTTTGCCCCTCTCGGGCCTCAACTTATGACTAGATTGCTCCTATGTTTGTTGGCTTATAGCACAAATCAGTACCGCCTCAACTCAACCATACTATGTCGACATATACATAAAATAATAACAAACAAACACACATAATCATAGCAGGTCTACCAGTCTAATAGAACACTGCAATATAACAACATCCTACACATTAGGACATATACTGCAGTACAAAGTATAGTGAGAAAACTCACCTGAGTTGACCAGCAGAAGCTCAACAACAAACCTCAATGATAGAACAACTAACACAACCTACCTAATGCAAAACCGAGACTAGATCTTAGCTAAACACTCAATTCTATCATAATTTGGCCAAAATTCAAACTTGTCAAAAAGTCACCTTGTCGGTGCTACGCTTAGCGTAGCACATATCTAAACTCAACGTAGGCCTACACTTAGCGTAACTAGCCTACTCTCAGCGTAGCATTAAAATACAAAATAGTCAAATTCCCTCATCCCTACGCTCAGTGTACACTATTCACAAAAACCAACTTTTTGGTTAAGTTCTTAATCCGCTAAGCCAACATCCCAAACATTCCAAAAGTCCATTATACTAAAAATGACTCATAAAAATCAAAACTTTATGGACTTGCATGCCCCATGCATATCCTACACCCTTCTAGGTCAAAAATGGTGAAAGTATGACCTTGAACCCATATATGATACCAAAACAAGTCCAAAGTCCGTAACCAGAAGATAGAACACTCCAAGGACATTCAAGAATGATAAAGTTGCAAGCTTTATCTAGAGTCATTCCTAGAACTCCAACCAAAACCTCAAAAAGGGACTCAAAGACCGTAAAATGAAAGATCAGGAAAGCCTGAATCATAAAGTTGGGAGCTTGATGACTTATAAAGGTCCTCAAGATGCACAAGAACTTGTATATCTTATGAAAACACTCACTCAAGCTCCAAAGAATAATGGATTTCCTTGAACACTCCCAAATGGCACCTATAACAAGCAAAGGAATGGGGAGATGGAATGAAGGCTAGTGTTTTGTTCTTTAGAAGATAGAGATTGATCCTTAGAAACCCTAAAAGTTAAAGATGCTTAAATAGTGCCCAAAACATGGAATCTAAGGTTTTGTGCAACCAGTGGCGCTACGCTTAGCGTAGACATACCTACGCTCAGAGTAGCTTGCATATACTAATGTTGCATCATGATTTGAAATTCATCATTTGGCACTAGAAAAAGTGCATCTCGGAGAACAAGTGTTACATTTATATGAGGTTTTCTATTTAAAAAATTAACATATAACTTTTAATATATATATATATATATATATATATATATATTAAAATTTTAATTTAATAGACAGTTTATTTTTTATTAATAAAATATGTAAAGTCCCCATTGATTTTAACATGATAAAGAAACTTTATGAACTAATTAATTCAAAGTTAGTAATCTTAAAATAATTACTATTTTTATTTTTATTTTTATTTTTATTTTTTGTAACAACGGAAGGGGGAGAAAGAGGGCAGAGCGGTAAAAACGGATGCAACGAATTTGATAAACCGATCACGTCCGGAAGCCAAGCTGGTATATAAACCCTATTCTTTTTCTGAAAACCATTGATTACAATCGACAACCCTATTTTCTCTCCCTCTCTCTTTCCACCCACACTTTCAACCAATCTCTCTTTCACTCCCAACAAATGGCCGATCAGCTCACCGATGACCAGATCTCCGAGTTCAAGGAAGCCTTCAGCCTATTCGATAAGGATGGCGACGGTATGTTTCATTTCTTATCGTTTTTATAAATGGATTCGGTTATTATTGAATTTTGTTTGAATGTTTTTTTTCATGATGTGTGTTTTAGACGGAGTATGTTCATGCGATTTTCTTAGATTTTTTTTAATAGTTTGTGTATATGTTATCAATTGTATCTATGTTCATGTCATCAATTTGGGGTTTAGGAACGATAAGCTTTTCAACAAAAAGCTGACTTCCCCCTCTAAGACGGCAGATTGCATCATCACCACAGTGTTTAATTGGGTTCTCAATAGGGGTAGTTTTGGCGCTTGTAAGTGGCACAATTTGGTTTTGTTGCCCGTTTAAAATTCTGTAATTTCCTTGCTCTGTTCCCTTTCCCTGCCTTTTCCTTTTAGGCAGGGCCTGTTTTTTATATAAATTCGCCGTTTCTAAAAAAATCAATTTGGGGTTTATCCTGGTTTAGGTGCGAATTTTCCAATAAATGTGATGTAAATCATGTGTTTTAGACCTGATTTTGATGAAAACATTGTTTTGTTTTCGTGTCTTTGCATCGACGAAATATAATAAATAAAGGTTAGCAGGAAAAGAAAGAGAAAAGCAAATTAAAAGACGTCCTTAACGATGAAAGATTCCTGTACAAATTGCCTATTGGGCCGTTAGTAAATTTAACTGGATATGAATGAAATTGATCATGGGTTTGTCATCTTGTTAGGAAGTTTATAACATCCTTTGAAAATATGCCTATATACCTGCTAGTAATATTGATGAAGTGCATCATGATACATAAGTTTTCTACATCTCGCTAGGAGGTTTTTCATCATATTAATTGATGATTGAACTATATGCCAATTACCTAATCAAAAGTTGTATATATTCTAAGACGAAGGAAGTAGTTAATATACAATAATAAGGACCCTTAGCAACATATTCATGTTCTTATCCAGTGGTACATACTGAGAAATGCGTATGGTGATGATATAAGGATCCCTAGCAACAGACATATTCATGTTCTTATTCATGTGCAGGTTGCATCACGACAAAGGAACTTGGAACTGTGATGAGATCGCTTGGGCAAAATCCAACAGAGGCTGAACTCCAGGACATGATCAACGAAGTGGATGCAGATGGCAATGGAACCATTGATTTCCCAGAGTTTTTAAACCTGATGGCAAGGAAGATGAAGGATACAGACTCGGAGGAAGAATTAAAGGAAGCTTTCAGAGTCTTTGACAAAGATCAGAACGGTTTCATTTCTGCTGCTGAGCTTCGTCATGTCATGACAAACCTGGGTGAAAAACTCACTGATGAAGAAGTCGATGAAATGATCCGTGAGGCAGATGTTGATGGCGATGGTCAAATCAACTATGAGGAGTTTGTTAAGGTCATGATGGCCAAGTAATAATATTTATTAATAGCCCTAGTTTTATTTTTATTTTGTCAGTATCTAGTTGTTGTCAATTGGTTTCTTTCGGGCCATGCATGGATATCATATCCTTCTTGTTTAATTATGTATCTGTCACAAGTTTATATTTTTTTTTTTTTATGTTGCTGATTCCGATTTCATTCCAAATGCTCCACTTTTGCTTTCTGAAAATGATATCGAGTGAGATGTATGTTACCGGAAATGATATAATCACTTTTTTAGTGTGTTGTGAAATACATAATCACTTTTTTAACGTGTCGACGAATCTTGCGACTTTACTGTGTTATGAAATAAAATATATAATTGCGTGCCAAAAAGATGTCAAGTCTGATAATATTTTATTATAGCCTATGACTACAACCACGTGGACCCCAAATCCATCAAGCTTGACGGTGATACTACGCACATCTGCGCACGTTAGCACCTACCCCTACGACCCCACTACTATACACCTCAACATTTTGTCCCTCACTGGTTACAGCTCCACTACCAGAGTAAGAGCATCTCTATTCTCTGCCTCTGATAACCTCTTCCAAGTCCCAAATTCATTTCAATCTCAAATCATCTCTCATTGCACTTGGATTGGATTAAAAGATCAAAGGTACGATTCGTAAAATGCATCGTCTCTTCTTCTTTATTGCATTCCTCCTTATCAGTCAGTAATCTCTATGCGTTTGATCTTCAATTGTTTCCTTGAATGGACCGATTGATAAGTATCGGATTCGATTTACTGACTTGGATCGTGATTCGCTAATCCATTTATACCTACTTTTTGATTTGATGCATTTATCTGATTTTTATTATTTGGATCCTGGGTGAACTTGGACATTAATCCCCCGAATTTGTTTTAACTGATCCGTACAATGAACTTTTGATATAGTTGGGGTCTCCTTATCGTAACATGATCGGAAAACATGAAAGAATTATACATCTGTGAAATTTTAACATTAGACATGAATAAGCGGCTCAATCTACTATATATGTGTTTCTACGTTCTTCGTTCTCTGAGTTCTTCTCTCCGGCGTTGACTTTTTCATATCAAGGGTGTTAATCTGCAGATCTAAAATTCATATGGATACTTGAATTTCTTGGAAAAATAATCAAACCCAATACTATCACAATGCAAAACAGATATTGATTTTGTTGGCAATTTACCACAAACATTTCTGGATTTGTACCTGTTCTTCAAGAACACAAAACTGATGTGGGTTTCGTTTTTAATTCATCAACGACTTTCTTTGGAATCATGTCAAAATGAATCAGTATGATAAAATCCAAAACGATAAGTATTGCATTTTTCGTGTGTATGATAAAATGGAAATCTGTATCTATTATTAATATCATCGAATCTTCAATGTTGGATTGATGATGAAATCTAGCATTCACTCAAATTACTAAATTACAGGTCTCAAATGGAAGCGAACAGAATAACCACGACCACCCATTGGTGTTACACTTGCAGGCAATTAGTCACTCTCACAACCCAAACCAGAGTTTGTTGTGAATGTGAAGGAGGCTTCGTTCAAGAGCTTGAAAATATCCTAACCACAACCACCACCAATGTGGAAGAACAAAACCGTAACTCAGGCATCATGGAAACCCTCTCAAACTTTTTCCGGCGACAAGAAACACAATCCAACCACCGTGATCAACAAGACATGGTCGCTGAAGACAACAACATTAACAGCACGTGGGGCCCGTGGCCTATTTTCTCCGGTGACATGCCGGTCAGAATCCCCAACAATGGCGGTCTTTTTGAGCTTTTCAATGAAGTGCTCGGACTCCGGCGAGAAAACGGTGCGGACATCTTTGTGGGCCCCGGAGTCGAAGAATTCTTCCAACAGTTGAACAGTCATGATTCCGATGTTCCTCCACCACCTCCAAAGTTATCAATCGATGCATTGCCAACTGTTAAAGTTTCAAAGAAAGACATTCGGTCTGATTCCCATTGTGCAGTTTGTAAAGAGAAGCTCATATTGGGGTCTAGTGCCAAGAAGTTGCCATGTAAACATTTGTACCATTCCGGGTGTATTGCACCTTGGTTAGCTCAGGTGAACTCATGCCCGGTTTGCCGCCGCGAAGTGGTGGCAGGTGGTGGCAGCAGGAGGCGGAGCCGAGTATGGCATAGTCGGTTGTCTTTCTTGTGGCCTTTTGGATCACAATCTTGAACTTGTTTGCAACTTTGCATCCACTTTTTTTGTCTTTGTTAATTGTGCATCTACAAAACTCGGGCATAAAGATCGGTTGAAGTTGGTTGTTTTTCTTGAAGAATATGTTAAATTATACTAGTATAACAAAATGATTCTCAAAACATTCCAACAAAAGCAAAACAAACCATTTTCCTTATCATTACTCAAAGTCAAACCCTCATAAACATACCAACAAACAACACACAATTACATGATCTCAAACATACAAGAATATATCAAAACAGAGCTTCTTCTTCTAGTTTGTAAGCTCCATGATAGCAGAAACAATATCACCATCTGCATCCTTGAGAGCTTTTACAGCCTTTGATCTGGTAACCCCTGCTTGTGTCATCACCAGATCAATGTCCTTGGGCTCCACCCCACTCTCATCAACTTCATTTTCTTCATCATTTGCAGCAGCCCCTGTTGCCTCCTCAGAAGCCATGCTTGACATCACATTACTCAAATTTGGTGCTTTAAACTGCTCAGCTGCCTGACTCTGCAACTGTGAGCTCAGATCCTCTATCTTTGCTTCACCAAATATCACATACGTATCTGAAGCAGGCGACTTGAATACATCCGGTTTTGATATCACAAACAGAATCTGCAACACCATAACACTAATCAATCAATCATATTATCAACAACCAATCAATCATCATGAAAAAGTTAACCAAAGAAACCAACATTTTTGCTCTTTTTCACAGTGACACGACTGACTCCAGGAATGGGCTTCATCCCGAGTTTTAACATAGCCTTCCGACTCTTTTTCTCACTTCTACTTTGCTTAGATCTACCACTTGCATCTCCTAAACCTGTGCTTGCAAAACAAATTCATCAATCAATGGTTACCTATGTGACACTTAAAAGCTCATCAGTTTCTTGAAATGGAATGAGTATTATCATTTTTAATTACATAGTCTCACCTTCAACATCATCTTCATCATTGCCATCATCATCATCGTCTTCATCATCATCTTCGTCTTCAATCAGCGGTTCCTCATGCTGCAAAATTTATCGTTTTAAACATTGGTAAAATTACCCATATTGCCCTTAGCTTCGAAACCAAAAATTAAGCATACAATTCTAGAAATCCTACAGCAACAGTGAATGTTCGTTTGCTTGTAAAAAGAACAAGTCTTTGCAATCTTCACTAGGTCGTAACATATATATAAGGAAAACTAACAGTTCATATGGTCAGTAATTGTCAACACTACATATACACGACATTGAGATCTCTTTTTTTTTTTTGGGGGGGGGGGGGGGGGGGGGGGGGGGGGATAGGACAAGAACGAAAAAGTATCCGATAATGAGATCAAAAACAAGGTTCCTAGGGTGATCTGATAGTGATATGTGTGCATCACGTTGCTAGATCCAGCTTTTTTGCAGCTGTTTCGATTTCATCAGTCCATTTTGCTACCATTTACATAGATTAGCATAACTAAAAACCGACATATCAAAGTGGATATGAAGCTAATGAAGTGAACCAATCAAAGGTTGTAGTGGAACCAGAAGAACAATAATATCAGAATCAAAGATGAAAGATTTACAATTCCTGAATAGGAAAAGAGATCTTACAGCAACCTTTTGTTGTTCGAGAATGGCAGCAAGGAGTTCTTCTTGTGTTTGAGCAGTCATGGTGAGCACCGAGGAGTGTTTGTGTGGGAAAGAAAAGAAACGAATAGATCACAAAACCCTAAAAATCTCCGAACACCAAACACAACAGTTTTGGAGAGCAAACAGTAGTCCCTCTTTTTTATATTTGGTAAACTGTTTTCAAATTTAGGGATGTTTTCCTTTTTTAAGCTATCATCTGATTATTATTCATAATAAAAAAAATGTTTTTTAACGTGTAGAGAAACACAATTTTACTTTTTGATTATATTTTTCTTTTTAATTGTATGAATGGTTCGGCTGAAATTAAATGCAAAATAATTTGGCCTTATTGGTTTCATATGAACCAAAAGGTTTGAGATTTATGAAATCGTTTAATTTGTGGAATATAAAGTTAAAGCACCATTTAAATTGGAAGAAATATATTAAAGTAGATGTTTGTGGTGACAACCCGTTTTTAGATAACGAAATTAATTCTTTTAAAAGTCATATCCATAGATTAAGGGTCGTAACATTACTATGCATGACCAGTTGGACTCTATTGTAAGAATGGAAGCTCCATAGTATATGGCGCAAGAAAATCAAATATATCAAATGCGAAAAATATAAATATTTGTTGATTTTCTATACAAGCTTTCTAATGTTTTATTATTTTGTATTACACAGTTTTTAAAAAGTATGTCTGAAAAACCTCACTCGGTGATTCCCCAAGCCTACGAGAGGGGAAACTCATGTAAGATCTACACATGCATGTTTCCCTCATATTCATCTAAAAACCAAAACATCGGTCGGCCTAAGTGTTGATCTACCTTCTAACGGGTCAGTCAAGAAGTTTGCAAGTGATTTTTTCCTTGACAGAAACTCTGGCACGTCGAAAAATGTCAAAAAGAATGTCCTTAACCAGATCGTGTCGGTGCTTAAAACATGAAAACTTTCTATAATGTACTGCATGTTTTCCAAAAAAAAATCCAAACATACCTTACGAAAAACAGGACATTTCTCGTCAATTAAAAATAAATAGATCATAAGACGATCCTTTTATTTTTATTAACTTTCTTGTAATTTATTTTAGATTTTTATTTTTTATATTAACTATACTCTTGTTTTAAATCTTAAATTCCTAATCAACCAGTTAAAAATTGCAATGATGCCTTAATTGTAAAGTTTCAAACTTTAATCATTACTCTAGTGTGGATTTTTTTTTTCTTACGCAATGTTTATTTTTACTTTATAAATTAAGAAGTGGTTATTTATTTGAACAATGATCGACATTTTCATGTTCCAGATATCAATAGTTATACATTTGACATCGATGGCTATGTCAAACGTTAACCACGGCGAACAAAATGGATAGTTGGCTTATTTAAAAAAAGACAAAACTGCACAAATGGTTGTTATGGTTAGCTCAAAATTGTTATTTTTGTCCAAAAAAGTTTGGACTAGCACCACGGTACAAACTTTTTCATTTTGTTGCGAGTTTGGTCCAATTTGCTATGAACTTTTTTATAATGACGATTTTGCCCTTATTTTTTTCTTTTTCGGTCTTTTTTATTAATTCTATTAATTTTTTGATGAAATAAATAAAAAAACAAAATAGAAAAACCAACTAACCTCTCTCTCTCTCTCTCTCTCTCTCTCTCTCTCTCTCTATCGCCGCCACAACCACCATTCTTGTCGGAAACCACCTCCAAAACCTCTATTCTATCCGCATTTCATCTTTCTGTTTCTTCACTCTCTTCTTCTCCGAAAACCTCATGAACTATCACCACCATTTGATGAATTCAAACATAATTTTTCCAAATATGAAGAACAAAACATTCTATTTTTTCAGATCTGAAGAACAAGAAGTATTTACAGACTTGTAAACCACAAGATCAACTAGATTTATAAAGACGCAAGAACTATTTACATATTTGTAGAAGCTTAACATTCTTAAATCAAAATTCAAAAAAATCTATACTGATATGGATCTAGAAAGACGAACACGACGCTGATATGGATCTAGAAAGACCAAGACAAAAAAACATGGCAGCGAATACATGGCATGAGTTGTTTGAAGGTGTTGAAACCCCTTCATCAGAGCTTCCACCATCTTTAGATCTTGAAAAAAGGACGATAGGTTTTTTTTCCAGAATTGTAAAGGACGAAGCTAGGATTTTTCTCAGTTTCTCTTCTTCTCCGCCGCCCTTCCCATTTGGATTAGGGTTTTTGTCCTGAAAATTGAGCTACCACTGTGGGATGGGTTTTCAGATATGAAGAGGAAGAGGGTTTTCAGATCGATAGATCTGAAGAAAGTTTTCAGACTTCACCCGGCGTAGATTTGTTCTCGTCTGAGGACATCGGAGACCTAAGCTCGCGACTGAAGACTCTCGAGGCAAAGAGGTGGATTTCGATTCAAGGTTTTGTCCTCCGTCGTTTCGTCTTCAAATCACCATGTGTGTGTTCAGATGAAGAACCCGAGAACCAATGAACTCGATCTAATTCCGTCTTCTGATTTCATTTTCTTCTTTCTCCATTATTCGATCTTCCCTATATTTTCCATTCCTTTAGTGTTTAGGGAGAAAAGTCTAGAGAAGAAACATATCTCAAATCTAGTTTTGGTTTGACAAGAGAGAGAGAGAGAGAGTATTTTATTTTTGTTTTATTTTTAATTGTTTTCTTATTATTGTAATAAAAGAAAATTGTAAAATAAAATAATAAAGGGCAAATCTGTCATTATAAAATGTTTCAAAATGTTTGGACCAAACTCGCAACAAAATGAAAAGTTTGGACCTGTGGTGCTAGTCCAAACCTTTTTGGACCAAAGTGGCAATTTTGTGCTGACCACAGGGACCATTTGTGCAGTTTTGTCTTAAAAAGATGGACAAATCTTGAGGATTTAATATGAACGCCAAAAAATTTCAATTTAAAGTTAACCTTAAGAAGTCTGTTAAAACGTTGTCGCAGACATTTTAAGCAAATAAAATATTACTACTCAAATGCACTAAAGGATAACACAGGGAAACAGAGTTGAATCATGAGGGACATAGTTTAATGGTCAATGTCTCTTTGTGTAAAGCACATACTAGTCATAAACAGAAAATAAAAAGAAAATGAGGGGTTTTGATTATTAATTAAAACTAAAATAGCAGTGAAAATAACTAAAGAATATTCAATAATAAAAAGCAAATTCAGTTATGTTGCGACTTTCCTAATCATGGAATCAATCCAGACCTGGTTATTCAAAATATGTTCTACCTAAGTTGGTACTGAGAGCAACTAACAATCTCTAGTATATTCTTTTTACATAGTTAATTAACCAAAACAAGCTCTTCAATTAATCCTAGATTTTTATTAATTTAATTAAACAAGCTCTTAATCAAATAAGAAAAGCAACATTATGATATATGTAAAATTCTCAACAATATTCAATGCTTCTCACAAGCTCGGAAAAGTAAAAATATAAAATTTCAATTTATATATGAAATAAATCCTAACACGGAACCAATTTGATACTTGTTTCTTGTTACCAATTGAACAGAACAATTATGGATTCCATTAGTTGATTAACAAGATCGATTTAATCCTAAATTAGGTGACCATGCTAAAAAGAACTAAAATCAAACATTCATTAAATACAAAACTAAAATATCTAAGATAGAATCACTAATCAGTAACCAAGTCTAATGAATGGTTACATGAAAAATACCGATCTATGCAGAATAGAAATCTAGAGTTTAGCTACACATGGCCACCGGAAATCGTTTTCCGTCGTCTGGGAACATCTAGGGCTTAAACTGACCAGAGAGGTCGTATTTATCTGCAAGCCAACAACTTCCGGACAAAGAAAGTGAAAAACACGATCATATTTTTTGTTTGCAATCACCAAATGTCTCGATTAATGAAGTACGTTGCTATATCTTGACAAAAATGGAAAACACGATCGTGTTTCTTGAAAAGCACGATTGCATTTTTGCTTCGAGGTACCGAAACTTGACTTTTTGGCCTGTAAAAGTTGTGAATGTAAAGCACGATAAAAAACACGATGATATAGGGAAAAACACGATGGTGTTTTTCCTAAAACGCGTGTTTCAGACGCGAACTCTTTAGTTTCAGTAAATCCAACCCAGGTTCCAAATTCATAAGGTATTTTAGCTTCATTAAGCTCCTATAATGCATACAAAGTTGCTCCCAAAATAATGCTCCACTCGAAAAATCTGAAAACGAAATAAAAACATGAACAGTACAGGAATTATAACAATAAACATGAGTTGCACATTACTTAAATTAATGCACATGCAAATGCGTAAAATATACTTCAAAATGTAATAAAAACGAATATAAAATATGCATAAAATGGCATCTATCAAATCTCCCCAAGCTTAAACCTTACTTACCATCAAGTAATAAAAAGATTAAACATTATAAACATAATGGAAAGATGTAGATGACCAAAAAAGGAACTTGCAATAAAACCTAAAAGAAAATTAAGGAAACTAAAAACTTGAACTTTAAGCAATTCACTCTTTTTTTTCCTTTTTTTCACATGATCAGACCTTACATCGAGGAAGCTCAAGTGGAATCACTACCTAGACAATAATTTCAATACCTTCCATCTTTCACAGACTCCCAAATTCAGGAATAAACTCAACACTGTGAACCAACAAACCAACTATAATGTAACACCCGGTTCCAAGTACGGTATTATTTTAGAGTATGTATGGTGATCTTCTTTGGAAGCCACGACGTGGTGATGAGTTTGGGCCGTAGGGTTTAATGAATCACCACGACGTGGTGGTGGCTGTTGGGGGAAAACACTAAAGTTTAAGGGCCAAGCCCTATTTAAAGATCCTTATCCCCCTTCCAGCCCCCTCCCATCAGCCTCCATCTCTCCAAATCGTCCATTGCAACCCTAGAGCCATTTTGTGAGTTTAAGCCTTAAAAGTGTGAGTTTTTGGTGCTTGTGAAGGAAAAGGTGGTGGAAGACCTCATTCGGAGTCCAAGGGAAAGAAGATCCAGGAGTTTACCTTCCTCTAGCATCTCAAGGAGGTATAAAGTCTTTATCTTGATGAGTTTATGGTTAGATCTATGGGTTTTCCCCTTTTTCTCTTTTTTCTTGTTGCCTTGGGTGGTTGAACTTCATAAAGCTGGCAACTTTATGAGTC